GATGGCACTGGATGGGCAAATGGGTAAGTTCAAGTCTTCACTCGACCTATTGATGAGCATAACATAAATATTTCTACTTCGTGTTCTGTTTATCTCTTACCTTTATACTTACATATTTGGAATTTTAGTAAAATTGTGAATCTCATGAGTACAGATACGTACCGTATAGATCAGGCCAGTGGCATGTTTCACTTGATCTGGACAGCACCCATATCTTGCATCATCACTCTCATATTACTCCTCATCAATTTGACCTACAGCGCTCTTGCAGGATTCGGGCTGTTAGTCGTTGGACTTCCCTTATTAACCAAGGCTGTCAAGAGACTTTTTGCGAGAAGAAAGGCCATCAACAAGATCACTGATCAAAGAGTAAGTCTCACACAAGAAATTCTTCAGGCAGTGCGATTTGTGAAGTACTTCGGCTGGGAGACAGCATTCCTTGATAGACTTGCTGCAATCAGGAACAAGGAGATTCGCTCCATTCAGATCTTACTGGCGATCAGAAACGCCATTAACGCTGTCTCCATGACTATGCCTATCTTTGCGTCAATGATAGCTTTTATCACCTACAGTTTGACGGATCACGGGTTAAGCCCAGCACGTGTATTTTCGTCGCTTGCTCTATTCAACTCGTTGCGATTGCCGCTAAATCTACTACCTATGGTTATCGGGCAGGTTATTGATGCTTGGTCTTCAATCTATCGTATCCAAGAATTCTTACTCAGTGAAGAGCAAGAAGATGATGCTAAGCCAGACCACGAACTAGAAGGAGCAATAGTCTTAAAAAGCGCCGACTTTACTTGGGAACGGACAGCGACTCAAGATTCTGAAAAGGCCGGGCCTGCTGGAAAGAAGCAGACGAAGGCTGAAGTTAAATTTGAAAAGGATGCCAAGAAACAAGCATCCAAGGATGAAAAAGCTGCTGAAAAATCCCGGTCAGATTCCTCTCCAACCAACAAGGATATTACAAGCAACGACGGAACTCCTCTCGATGATGCAAGTACTATCAATGGAGATGAAGAACCATTCAGCTTACAGAATATGAATTTTACGATTGGCAGGAATGAGCTAGTAGCTGTAATTGGTGGAGTTGGAAGCGGTAAAAGTTCTCTGCTTGCTGCTCTCGCAGGTGACATGCGGAAAACAAGAGGAGAAATGACTATGGGAGCTGATCGAGCCTTTTGCCCGCAATATGCATGGATACAGAATGCGACCGTCAGAGACAACATATTGTTCGGAAAAGATATGAATAAGTCATGGTATAACAAAGTCATCGATTCTTGTGCCTTGAGACCCGATTTGGACATGCTCCCGAACGGCGATCAGACCGAAATCGGCGAGAGAGGTATCACTGTTTCAGGAGGTCAGAAACAACGAATGAATATTGCGCGAGCCATTTACTTTGATGCTGACTTGATTTTGATGGATGATCCTTTAAGCGCTGTCGATGCACACGTTGGTCGTCATATTTTTGACAATGCAATTATGGGCTTATTAAAGGACAAAGCTAGAATTTTAGCCACTCATCAACTCTGGGTACTCAATCGTTGTGATAGGATCATATGGATGGAAGAGGGCAAAATTCAAGCGATTGACACGTTCAGCAATCTCATGAACAATCATGCTGGTTTTCAACAGCTCATGGAGACAACAGCAGTCGAAGAATCACACGAGCCAGAGGCTGAGGAAGAAGGTATCGAAGTGGAGAAGAAGGTTGAGAAAAAGAAGCATAAAGCGCCTGCTTTGATGCAAGCCGAGGAGAGGTCTGTCAAGAGTGTTTCATGGACAGTATACGCCGATTATGTCCGGGCTTCTGGTAGTCTCTTCAACGCACCAATCATTTTATTGCTACTTCTCCTTTCTCAAGGTGCGAATATCGCCACTAGCTTGTGGTTATCATGGTGGACAAGCGACAAGTTCGGATACTCCACTGCTGTATATATTGGAGTGTATGCTGCGCTTGGTGCTAGTCAGGCTCTGCTGTTGTTCTTTTTTGCTTTGTAAGTTTTTTCTAATTAGTTTTCTTCCTTGTGAAACGGAGTATTCGCTAACCACCCCAAATCAGAGCCCTCACAATCCTTGGAACAATTGCGAGTAAGGTGATGCTCAGCAAAGCCATTACAAAGGCACTCCGAGCGCCCATGTCCTTCTTTGACACCACGCCTCTGGGTCGTATCACTAATCGTTTTTCAAGAGATGTTGACGTTATGGACAACAATCTCACTGATGCTATACGCATGTTCTTTCTAACCATGGCTATGATTATATCGGTCTTCGCCTTAATCATTGCTTACTTCCATTATTTTGCTATCGCTTTGGCGCCTCTTGCACTTCTCTTCATATTTGCAGCGGGATACTATCGTGCATCGGCACGAGAAATGAAGCGTTTCGAATCAGTCTTTCGATCGAGCGTTTTTGCCAAGTTTAGTGAAGGACTTTCTGGAACATCTACCATTCGAGCATATGGACTACAAGATCGATTCATTACTGATTTGAGAAAGGCCATTGACGAGATGGACTCTGCCTATTTTCTTACGTTTTCAAATCAGCGATGGTTATCTACTCGTTTGGACATTATCGGAAATTTGCTTGTTTTTGTAACGGGTATTCTAGTCATCACTTCTAGATTTTCCGTTGGGCCATCTACTGCAGGATTGGTATTATCTTATATTCTTTCTATCGTTCAGATGATTCAATTTACCGTTCGCCAACTAGCGGAAGTCGAGAATGGAATGAATGCCACGGAACGTATCCATTACTACGGTACTTCATTGGAGGAAGAGGCACCATTACATACAATAGATGTTCGCCCTACATGGCCTGAGAGTGGTGAGATCGTCTTCAACAATGTCGATATGCGGTATAGAGAGAACCTTCCGCTAGTATTGTCCGGCCTATCAATGCACGTAAAAGGTGGTGAACGAATTGGGGTGGTTGGTCGTACGGGTGCTGGAAAATCAAGTATTATGTCTACTCTCTTCCGACTTGTTGAGATTTCCGGTGGTTCAATCACTGTTGATGGTGTAGATATTAGCAAGATTGGACTTCACGACCTCCGATCTCGTCTTGCTATTATCCCACAAGATCCTACCCTATTCAAAGGAACCATCAGAAGTAACCTAGATCCTTTTAGCCAACACAGTGATTTGGAACTTTGGTCCGCACTACGACAGTCTGACCTTGTGGCCTCAGACTCAAATCTCGAAGACGAAGTCACAGGGCGTATACATCTCGATTCCGTAGTCGAAGACGAAGGATTGAACTATTCGCTAGGTCAAAGACAATTGATGGCACTTGCACGTGCTCTTGTCCGTGGTTCGCAAATCATTGTTTGTGACGAAGCTACAAGTTCTGTTGATATGGAAACGGACGAGAAGATTCAAAGAACTATTCAAGAGGGGTTCAGGGGCAAGACGCTTTTGTGTATTGCTCATAGACTTAAGACCATTATCGGATATGATCGCATTTGCGTGATGGATAAGGGAACAATTGCAGAATTAGATGAGCCAGTTAAGCTATGGGAGCAAGGAGGCATCTTTAGGGCCATGTGTGATAGAAGTGGTATCCGAAAAGAGGATTTTGCCAGGGCGGCAGTTCCGACCGGGATCACGAAAATCGAGTAGGGGATTAATATATTGATGAATTAGTGGATGTTGTATGTATGATGACGAAAGATGGTAATGTTATATGGTATACATGCATTTCATGTGCATTTTCGGGCGTTAGGGAGAAGGATGGGATGAGCGAGCATTTGAAAGTTTTGGGTTGAAAATTCGCTTGAATGCTATTGTCAGAATGTCATTGCTAGACGGGGTCTCATGGCAAACTGTAGAGAACGATACGACACATAAATCTAATGAGAAAGCAAAGGACGATTAAGAACAAGAATACTATATACATGTGATTAGTTGTGATTTGCCGTTCAAATCATGTCATCCTTCCATGCAATTTCAATCTCTAGAGCGTTTTCATTCTTCCGAGCGTTACCATTTATTACATTCTCCGAGTGGGTGAAGGTGGTAAAGCCTGATCCTGACCAAGTCTTTTCTCCGCTCAATTTTGCAATAACGAATCTTTTTACCAAGCACATATAAGCACCAATGTAGATTGCGAATCCTCAAAGACGGAAAGCAGCCCGAGTCTGGAAGGAAGTGGAGTACAAAAAATGGCTGGGATTCGTAGCATTAATCCTTCACAAAACCTGGTTCGGACGGTTCGGATAGCTATGGAATTTCCGGATATGTCGCTGTACAGGGTTTTAAACGAGGCGGGTGCGTCCATATGCAATACAAATCAGATGCGGTCTAATTATCGCTGATTGTGATTGGTGAGTTGATACGGGATCTTTTGATGGGAATTGTTTATGAAGCCGGGGCGTCCCCTTTCGATGGATTTTCGTTTTCGATTTTTGGATTTTTTGCTACTTTTCTTGTGTCGGTTTCTGTACATATACTTCGGGACATGTGAAATTTTACACTCTTCACACCTACTCATATATTTTTTCCGCATCATCCGACCCGCTGTCAAAATTCTTCATCGATATCCACTTCATAAACTCACAAGCTCTCTCGCTAATCTCGGGTATCCACTATCACCATAACATCACGATTAAATCGCCCCTCCCATTGCATTTATTTCCATTCCTCAACTATCTTGCCAACCTACACCAGACCTCCCACCTTCCACGCCTTCCACCCCTCGGAGTCATGCCCTGCACGGAATTTGCGCTTCTTCCCCTCACATCCCCGCTTTCTCCCCGCCTGATCCCCAAACTCCGCACTTGCAAACGTGTGCTAGAGAGAGCGTCGGGATACCCTTGTCATTTCTATCAACAGGTGGAAAATCCTTCGTATATGTATATTGTCGGGACGTGGGAAAGTCCGGGGCATCATGAGAGATTCCTGCCGAGTGTGGAGAATCTGGGACTTTTTGATCTGTTGAGGGGGGAGGTGGTGCTGGGGGTGGGGATTGGAGAGACGGTGGAGGGGAGGGGGATCAGGATGTGGCATTGTGAGTGTGGGTTTTTCTTATCGTTTACTATTTTGTGTCTTTGTGTTTTGAGGGTTGGGGCTGGGGTTGGGAATAGGACTCAGGAGTAGATTTTTGCATAACGTTGGGTTGGGTTTGATTACTAATTTTATGATGCTACAGTAGAAGGCGATGCACTCAGTTGCCTCCGGACAGGAATAGATGAAGGAATCGGAGAAGAAGACGCAAAGAAAAAATCTCCCTTCAGTGCGCCCATCATATCATGTAATAGACATTACATATCATCCCACAACAGGGAAGGATTTAGTGCAAAGTTTAACGAGGTAAAACATGCGTTAGAAAACGAAACGAAAGAGTATGAGATCGAGGGCGGGTGGAGGATAGAAAAGGAGGCGGAAGATAAGGAGGAATGGGTTATGTTTTGTGGATGGGAGAGTGTGGAGAAACACATGGCTTTTAGTAAGAAGGAGAGCTTTAAAGAGTGGAGTGGGATTGTGGATTGGGTGGAGGGGTTTGAGGTTAGGCATTTAAGATTGATTGAGGGGTTGTGATTTGGGATCCCTTGGAAGAAAAATGGTGGAATGGATATTTGATTTTTAGATCAAAGCGACTTGGTTTGACTGCGCGGCAGAAAGTATTCGAATGACGACTACTCTTGGTTACATGTATTCATATATTTGAACGTCCTTATATCTTCGGTTCAACCGTCAAAACAATTTCGGATTTAGTGAATAATAAACGAGCCGTCCCAAAGTTCCAAACTTGAGAGGGAAAACCGAAGTGATTCCAGCGCCACGTGATCTTGAAGTGTTCAAGTTCACTAAAGCTAAAAGAACGATCGGATAGAATTCAGATTTTCAAGAACTTTCTTTGCGAATCTGCAGAAAAAGTGTCAGACTTGCCATGAAACATTTGCATAGGACATCAGATATCGATCCAATGAATTCCCACTGCAAATACGAGTTCAACCATCAAATCACCTATATAATTAGCTTCATTTGGCGAAAAGATCTAGCGCAAAACAATTACAGTATAGTTTGGCATCAATCTCTCGCTTTTGTTCGTTTGAATTCGAGAAACTTTACTCCTGAGATTAGCGTCCACTCTTTAAAATCACGTGGTCGTGTCCTGTTTCCGAATTTTCTGTCGAGGTATTTGTGTCTCCACATTTCGTGTAGCTCAGGAAAATATATCCATACATATACATATTACATAGATCAAGATGTTGATCAACGAACATACAGGTAATTTATCTTGTCCGCCTTGGATCTTCTCATCAAAGAACTAACATATGTCAGCCGTTTCCACGAACAAAATACTGTTAATACCATATGAAGAATCACACGTGATTACATATCATGAGTGGATGAAAGATGAGGTAGGCATTTGTGTTATACATGTATATGCAATACATGAACTGTTTTCAAGAACTCAGGGAGGGATTAATATGATTCTAGGAAATTCAACAAGCAACCGCCTCTGAGCCTCTGACTCTCGAGGAAGAATATGACATGCAAAGGAGTTGGAGGACGGATCATGATAAATTGACTTTTATTATCTGTTTACCCGAAGAAAAAAATGCATCGCCAGAGATGAGAAAAGGCGTATCAGATGCACCTGCGAAGATGATAGGTGATGTTAATTTGTTCATCACGGAAGCAGAGGAGGATGAAGAAGGATGTATAGGAGAAATTGAAATTATGATTGCGGAACGCAACGCAAGAGGTAAGGGATTGGGAAGGTCGGCAGTGGTTGCTTTTCTTGAATATTTAAGGAGCAATCTGGAGAATATTTTGGAGGAGTATAGGAAGGGTATCAAGGGGAAGAAGGAAGAGGGGAAAATGAAGTTGCTGCAGTTGAGGGTTAAGATTGGAGGGAAGAATGTCGCAAGTATTGGACTTTTTGAAAGCGTGGGGTTTGTGAAGGTTGGGGAGGGAGAGAATTATTTTGGTGAGGTGGAATTGGTTTTCGAGGGGTGGTGTGAGGAGGAAAAGGTGAAGGGCTTGATGGAAAGTTTTGGGGTGGAGGGGTATCGGGAGTGTGGTTATAGATAATGTAAATTTACATTCGAAAGTCATTAAATGTTTCTTGCCTTTTGACGTGCTGCGACGTGCTGCTGCAAATGCGAGTATTCGCTTAAGATGAAGGTTGTTTTCTGTATATGCCACAAGATGATTATCAAATATGTCTCCTGAACTGTACTATGGGCCCGTCCCTAAAATTGACATACGCATATCTCAACAAGATTTTATTCCTCATGTCAATCGCAACTCCTGGCTCTTTTTTGTCCCCGCCCGTCTCGTCACCTTTCAAGAATCTAAGAACCATCCTCCAAAGTCGTTCTGGCCACCCAGATCAACAATTCCTGCATCACAACTTTCATGCCTGCACAATGGCCGGCCCCATTCTGAAAGGAATTGAAACCCACCTTCGTACGCGCCACATCCTCCGCCGACACATCTACTCCTTTACTGAACGCACCTTCCATTTATCTTTTAGGACGAAATACCCACGGATGCCCGAAGATCTCTTGTTTGTGCATCATCCACCATCCAGTCACCGCTACACCAAGACCAGCTGCCATGAATCACGCATCAATATATATACCACCCGGTAATACTTCTCTCGGCAACTGCGAAAGTCCAGTGGTTTCTATTCGCGGAGCCTCATCAATACATGCGTTGAGACTTGGTCTCTTATGATACCATCTGCACTCGAGCATGTCCGATCCAATCATGTAGATCCAAGCACATAAAAACAGAACCAAACTTTAGCAACCACAGTTGTATTTGTTCCAGCAACTACGAGAAGACTCGCTTCAGCTGTAAATTCATCCTTTGTGTGACCAGGCGCACCAGTGTCTGCGGTAGTTGAGAAGAGGCAGCGGGACATACATTTCCTGCCATGTTTCCCAAGCGCTTTGAGACTCTCGTCCTCTTGTCGTGTTGCGACACTATCATCGAGGACAATGAAGTGATCTTTTACTTTCTGTGGTGTGATATGATGAAAAATTGCACCCAGACCGCGGGGTTTGAGTCATGTCTATAGGAGCCGGATCGGGAGTGAGCGATCTATGTTAGGTTAGCAAACTTTTTGGGGTAGCAATGAAAAACTTAGCGGGTACATAAACCCATTGTGTTCGGCGCTAGGTAAGATGTCAGTTGTCAAATTCTTTGTAGTTTCGCTCATACTAAAAGGTAACAGTCGGCAGCTCGTCTTTGCCCCTAAGGAACCATAAAGACCGTATACCACGGTTGTTAGGGCCATACCCCATACGGGCATACATTTTTTACATTATGGTTTTTTTAATTGCAATTATTCAAACTTCTGTTTGCCCTATTTAGTATATTGACTTCGTGATAGTAATATGAGATGTAAGAACAATCTGCGCATGTAAGTATGATAGCAGCCGAACGTCCAACATATGGATTTTTCATAAAAGTCCTAGTTGGAGGCTCTCGTTCTTCTCAGCAGAATCAATAACAGAAGCAAAACTACTTGAAAGTCTACCACACTTTGCCGACTTTCATATCAGGTCAATAAGCTCAACTTTTGCAACTGCCTCAGAGAATGGATCTGGTAATGCCTGTGCGAAGACTCGAAGAGTGTACCCAGGGGCTCATGTAATGCTTGCAAACTTTTAGTTGAGCTGGTTCAGGTGGTAGCACTATCAGTGGGTGTACGGATTGACGGGAGACTACAAAAATTGACTTTGTGGATATCTTTTGATATACATCGATCCGTATATCTTAGGATTTATTTCAATTATTTATTAGAAATAAAACAATCAAAATATGAGATTTGATATCAAATAATCGAAGAATGAATTTGTTAAATAGATTGGAAATTGAGAAATGTCCTGTCAATCCACGCATCCACTGGTGCACCTAGTTGTTGAAGCTATTATCTTGTATAATTCATCCAGATTTTGTATCCACACAAAGGTACTTCACGTGGTTCAGGCCCTCTCAAGATAAAGTCAACATATTTATGTTAAATATCTCAAGAGAGCTACGCCGAGGTCTCATGATCACCGGAACTTCGATGTGAATGAGGAGTAGCAAGAAAAAAAGGAAGAAATGGCCGAGGCTCAACTAAAGAGCATCTGAGGAGGCATCTCGGGCCAGATGCCAAAGCGATGGCAGCACACATAAAAACACAACTAGCAAGGAGTCAGAATACCAAAATTTGACTATGACTAGGTACCTATTGGATGCGTGCATTGTTCACTGAGTTCGCAGCTACCGACTTACCACGCGGTGTTTATTTACTAAACTCTACCCAGAGATTTTAAAATCAAGAGAAAAAAGAAGCTCATGCTCAAAATATTGCCTTGACATGGCTCACTATCACTATCACTGTGATTCCAAAACCTCATCCTTTTGAAATCCATCCCCACATTAATTAATATCACCCTTGCGCACCTTACATCCTATGTTTAATCCCATTCCCTGACTGTGAAAAGTTTGTGTGTTCTTACTCAACAAGAATATTACCAAACGCATCAGAGATTTCTCTCCGTGAAGGCGGCAATTGCATTTCAGGCTGCGTCGAAATACCAACGGCAAGTCTTTCCTCCATAAGCTTAATTAGAACGGGTGGAACACTTTCATCTGTTGCTCTGATGGTGAGGCGAACCATCTGAATGTCATAGTTAGCACTAGAAGCTTGAGGGAATGGGGAATACCAACCTGGGTTCCATAATTCGGCTCCAGTCTTAATAAACAACCAAATTTGCCTCCCTCACCAGTATGCAACACACTGGCACCAACAAAGTTCTTCTTATTAGGGTCCACACCATCCAAGATACCCCATCTAAAACCATCTATGGTCTTGCGAACAAATCCATCAGTGAATTCACGGCTTCCGCCCTTACCACCCTTGACACCAAAGATGCGTTGAGCTTCACGTGGCGCTCCTCCAATTTGCTTCCATCGTTTGAAGAAATCATCTGCTGACAATTCTGCTGGATCCATAAATTTGTGTATGGTTATTGGAAGTTTCAGTGTCAAAGCTTGGAGAGCTCCAGCCAGGTAACTGATTCTAATCGTTGGACTCTTTTCAAACACCTTTTTAGACTCGAACATTATCATTTGTTGACTTTGTGCACCTTGATGAATTGTACTTTCCGGCAGACCTTTTGCTTCCCATGACAGGTTCTCCTTCTCGCTGGGTTCGAGATCAAGTGTTGTGGTAAACGAACTGACAGGAGATGGGGCTTTGTTAGAGAAATATAAGATGACACATGCCATTTGGCCACGATATTCAGATCGTACTCCGATTTGGATTTGCCCATCTTCATAAAGAACTCCCTCCGATTTGAGAAGAAGTTTGTTATATCCAATCTCCCAATCCGGTGAAAGATGGGCTGCGCTTGCTAAGTTTGGCGCTTTAAGGGTTTTTGGTTCCGACGGACCTTGATCCATAAGATCCAAGCCAGCAAGATCGTTGCTGGAGCCATTATTGTGTCCGTTAGTGCCGTTGATCCCCCCGTTCGCACCGGCGGCACTGGGCTTGGCTCCATTAGTACTGAAAGTACGCTTGAGACCTGGATTCTTGGCAACCACAAAATCTTTCTCATTAGCATTAGCATCTTTGCCTCCCACAATCCAAGTTCGCTTATCACTAGTTCCAGCATGCTTTTGATGTAGCCGTGAAAGTAGTGCTGACTGACGTTCCGGAAAGGGTGGCATTTCGTCGCAGACCGTTCGGAGAAGATCGTCAGTTGGTAAGCTTGCCAAGGCCAAGTATTCGCAAGCTCTTTGCTGAAGCTCAGAGTCTAGGGTGTGACTGTATGCTTGGAATACATACATAAGTCGAGGTTTAATCTCTGGGAAAAGATTGACGAATTTGATAAAAGATGATAATATAATGGCCCTTGTACTGGATGAGCAGCCTTGTAGTTTTCCCTGTAATGCAAGGTACTGCTCGATTGGGCTACAACCTTTGTCCTCTGCAATCAAGTGGCCAAATTCGCCAAGTATGTATCCGCCAATCTTCACAAGTGTCTCGTGACAGTGGTCCGCTTTTACATACTGTAAAATGTTCTGTGCTGCATACACTTGAAGCTCTTCGTTATTGGTAACGATCTGAATGACTCGGTGCCAAACCTCATCACTGACATGGTCTCCCGCCATTGCAATGAGTCGCAATGATATGTCAACATACCACTGAATGTCAGTAGCGTATTTCTCGGTCAAAATGGCAATCTTTAGGACCATTTCCTCTCGGATTGCAAAATCCGCGTTCTGAAGATATTGCAAGAGCTCGCCAACAATTGGTTGTGCGTTAGTTTGGTCACACATGCTGTATAGCAAATCTAAACCTTTCCTTCGTACACTGATATCTCTATCCTTTAAGGACCCAATGATAATTGCTTGATGTTGCTTAATAGGATCTAATATATCAGCTCTTGCAGCCAAATGTGTCATGGCTTCCAAGCCGAGATAGCGAACATTGGTCTCCCGTGACTGGATGAATTTTCCGAGTCTCGTTGAGATTTGTTTCATCAGGTCTACTTCGGTATCAAGATGAATGACAAGGTTTATGGCCTCGAATAAAACAGCATTCTGCGCATTGTTCTGCTGAACGTTCTTAGGCATATCAGATGCATCATCCAGGATTTTTTGTATGGACTGTCGAATCAAATTTCTGACGTGTGTATCCTCTGACAGTTGTTAGTATATGTGTGGCTGCGGATAGGGGAACATACCTGATGCGGGATAATATTGTAACAATCTTAGAAGTTTCATTTGAAGCCACGGGCAGGGTACCTTATAATAAAGATAGTCCTGGGTGAACTCTTGGTCCACGACTATCCTTTTGACTCTTGCTGCAGCTTTAACATAGCATCCTTTGTATTGATCGAGATTGTCTTGAGCAAGAGCCATCACGAGGGAGGTGACCGAGAGAGCAACACCAATGTCAACATCGTCCATTAGAGATATTATCCGTTCCGCCCATTGCGGTTGCACTATGTCGGGATGCTTTCGATAGAGTCTGAGGAGAGTCAAAGCTGCCTTCTTTTTGACGAACGATTTGGATGTCCTGCTGTGGTATTAGAGACAATACAGAACGAAGATGAAGCGAGCTTTCTCACGGTGATATCAGGAGCCTGTGGACCTCCCCACTCAGCGCCTCTCCCATTTCCCTTCCACCCACATTAGCAATGGCATGCAATGCCAAACAGTTATATAATTCATTGTGGTCCGTCAAATCTTTCCGGATACTGTTCACGACTAAATGTATCAATTCGTGCCCTTCGTGAAGAAACAAGGTCATTGCCAGGTATCCAATTTGCTTTTCCGAGTATTTATTGGCAGATATAAGGTTGACCGCTTCGAGATGGCCGAAATCGACATTCCACCCCAGGATATATATGTATAAGAGCTAGAATGATGTTTATTAGAGGTATATCAGTGAAAGGCGGTCGAACGAATTACCTTGCAGACATATTTTTTCTTATGATAGCCACTGAGATTTCCATCTGTTCGTCACAATTAGCTACACCCCTTTATTCTAGGCAAGATTTCGGACCTTTGAATTTCTGTCTTGAATGAGGAATAAAAGTCAGCCTTGCATGAGAAACCTTGGACCTGCAGAGGAGTAATAACGAACCTTATGTTCGCCAGTTCCTTATTGATTCTCTTTTCTTCAAGCTCTCTAGCTCTGGCATTTCTAAGATCTGCAATGAACTGCACGAGACCCCGCATATTTGAGTTATTGCTGGAGCTCCCACGGCCCAGAAAGCCTCCTGCAGAGGACGCCATCGTTGCCGTCTTTCTATCGGCCTTCTGAATCGAGTCGTATGCTCTTGCGGCCGGAGGACAAATGGGGAGGATGGTCCAGCGCGCGCCTGTACCCAATTGTCAAAGTTGTTTGTCGGTCTCTGATTGTAATTCTTTCCACGGAGTCCGGATTGTGTTGGCAAATCACTGGTGCTTTTCGAAATGCGCTGTTGGCTGCGGAAATTTAGCCTTGCTCGTGATCCGCCATCCGCAAAATATTATGGCGTATTCGCCCCTTTTCCTTCGAGATATCAAACGCAAAGATGTTTGTTGTTGATGAATTCCTGGTGAGATTGGAATCTAGAGAGGCTTCAATTGTACTGAGTTTCCACCCCGTACGCGAGACATAAGGGACATCGTTGCTAGGGAATAACAGGGATTAATTTCTTAGGTAAGGTAAGGCTCTAGTCTCAAACTTAGCCTTGCTTGCAAATGATTATCCTTAACGTCACCATTTATAAACTTTGATATCTGATCCTATTGACTTGAGTGTTGTCAATGATGTTCTCTTTATTTATATAATTGCCTACAATATAATTCTCCCTCAATCATGAAGTCTTTAGCTTTACGACCGTTTCTTCCAAGGCCATCGATAACAAGAAGACTATGTATATCTCGAAATTATGCAGTTCAATCCCCGGGATCACCTACTTTGCAGGTCTTCGATAGACATACTAAATATTTACAAAAAGAACGTGCAGCTCTAGACAAGGAGAAAAGTAGACAGGTGGATTATCTGAAGGATGAAGTAGCCATGCGACTTTCAGAAAGGTTATTGGTGAGATTATCCCGTTCAATTGAGATCAAGTAGCTTATAATGTTGTAGGATATCAATAGGCATTTTGATCATGTCCTAGATCTTGGCGCAAATTCATGTAACATAGCAAGGGCTCTCACTTTACCAGATCCAGACATTGACCTTTCGAAAACTACGTCTCCTCCACTTTCCTCCCGTATCGCCCGTCTTACAGCTGCAGATTCATCTCGGAATATGTTATACCGCGACGAAGATTTGCCATTTAATAAGGAAATAAACCTCACACGCGAAGTGCTCGACGATGAGGAAAGATTACCTTATGAATCTGGAACATTTGATGCAGTGCTGAGCTCTTTGAGCATGCATTGGATCAACGACCTTCCATCACTCCTTGCGCAAATCAATCACGTATTGAAGCCTGATGCACCATTTATGGCAGCAATGTTTGGTGGCGATACATTATTCGAATTACGAACGTCATTGCAGCTCGCAGATATGGAACGAAGAGGTGGAGTTTCTCCGCACGTTTCTCCGCTGGCGGATGTAAGAGACATTGGGGGTTTGTTGCAGAAAGCGGGGTTCAAGATGTTAACGGTAGATATCGACGACATCATTATTGATTTTCCTGACACGTTTGCCCTGATGCAAGATTTACAACAGATGGGCGAAAGCAATGCCATATTAGGAAGGGAGGCAGGTGCAATCAAGAAGGATGTACTTCTTGCAAACGAGGGAATATATCGAGAGTTACATGGAAACGAAGATGGTACAATACCCGCAACATTTAGGATGATATACATGATCGGCTGGAAGGAAGGACCTAACCAGGCACAACCATTACCCCGAGGTAGTGGGGAAATCAATATAAAAGATATTCTTGGTGGCGGAGAGGTCAAATGAATAGTCACAAATAAGAATAAACTTTAATAATTGCGCTGTAAAGTGCTTTAGAAAGTGCAATATACAAATCTATATTTGCATTTTCATCCTTCGTCGGGGAATCTAAGGGTGCAAAGTTTCTAATTACGTTCTCTACACCCATCATCCACAGATATGTCCTAAAAACCCATTCATTTGACCCCGCCTCTATGGAAGAATGTCAAAGCCGCAAGTGCGAAGGCATCTACAGCAGTAGTCATTATTGGCTGGATCTTTGGCGCAAATAATGCGGAATGATTATGGGGAATGTCCTCCATGGTTCCTTTAAACTTTGCCTCTTCCCAAGTATCCTGGTCGACACAACCAAAGTTGTAGAAAACATAAGGAGCGTCACACCCCAATGCCAAGTACGAGATATCCTCGCTGGCACCAAAATGATCAGCTGGAATCAAGTTCCTTCCAAAATATTCTCCAAAAGATTTCTTCAGTATTTCTGCCTCTGGAAAATCATTGACGGTGGGAGGGGCATGCATAGTCGTTGTAAATATCGGTTCTCTTATGGCGAGAGAACCAGAAATCCCGCACTCCGAGTAAACGACACGTTTGACCGCTTCAACTAAGCGTTCGTGAATGCTTGGATTGTATGACCGGATTGAAATTTTCAGATCCACAAAATCTGGGATGATATTTGCTGTACTGCCAACATGAATACTGGCACATCCAATGACCGCAAATTCTTCTGGTCGCACTTCTTTTCTGACAATACTTTGTATCGCACCACGATATGACCGGCAGTCACAACGGAGTCAACAAACAAGTCGGCACGACAAATATGCCCACTCTTCCCAAAAATCCGTACATCGAATGAATCCACTGCTGTTAAGATCGCACCTCGCCCAAGAGCAATCATACCAGCTTTGAAAGCATGCGTGTGTTGTCCAAGTACTATATCTGGCTTAGGGACAGCGAACTTGGATGCATCGTAAAGACCGTCTTCGACCATGGCTCGTGCACCCACTGCCAGCTCTTCCGCTGGTCGAAACAAGACAACCAAAGTGCCAGACCATTCCGATTTCGCTTCGAGAAGCATCTTTTCATCGGCAAGTAATACAGCAGTGTGCATCTGCAATATAAGCCAGCAAGTATCTTTCATAGAAGTCTTTGGAAATGTTCTTGTGAAGTGACTTTCATCGGGAGGTAAAAAGAAAGCAGATGAAGAATGGCCAGAGAGCTAGATTTTGGGAAAATTGATTACACTTACATCGTGACCGCACGCGTGCATCGCCGGTGTTTCTTTTCCGTCACTACGCTTAACAATCTTGGTACTTGCATACTCTAAATTTGTGTTCTCTAAATGAGGCAAAGCATCCATATCGGCGCGAAGAAGAACTGTAGCTCCCGATCCGTTTTATAGGATTCCAACAACGTCATGTCCTCCGATTCCCTTGATGACTCGGTAGCCACCAAGAGACTCCAGAAACTCGACGATGAGGGCGGCCGTACGGACCTCCTGCAAGGAAAGTTCTGGATTTCGATGAACATCGCGATAGATCTCTTCGAAGGAAGCAAGCTCAGGACGATATTGTTGAATTATAAATCTTTTGTCCATGATGGACTTTTGTGACGTGAAAATAAGTGACGGATAGTTCAAGAGAAGATATGAGAGCCATTAGTCTGATGTAGATTTAACGAGACGGGGGAAAATACTATTGTTTTTCAAGCTGCAACTTGTGCCGCCTTACTCGTGCTCTATCCTTGTCTTTGCTGTGCCTCACACAGAACTATGAATTCGGGAGATGCCAGCCGAGCGAAATGAGGAAAGTTCCTCCGGCCTGTGCATTATCGTCTCACAATCAGCACCAACATGTTGGGGGTTTTTTTTTTTAAAAAAAAAAAAAAGGTGCTTCACTAGATTGTCCGCGACAGACATACTAGACCAAGTGATAATTCCACTTGGCAGCGACTCCGACACCTTCGTGCAATATCAAAAAAGCATCACCTTTCAAACCGCCTTCAGAAATTGTAGATCAACCAGAAAAAATTGATCTCGATTAAAAAATCATGTTCCTGCTGGCTGGCGAGATAATTGGGAGTGATATACAAACCGGCCGCGCTATTGATTCTCGGGATCAATGTAGGTTCATTTGGTGTCCAATCTATCTATGATAATGGTGATATGATCATAGATGCCAGCGCTGTCATCTCAACCAATAGTTATTTGATACTCCCCGACCAATACTTTCTGTCAATTTCATTAGTCTAAGAAGTCAACAATCTCTAGGGCTCATGATGCCTATGGTAGATCTTCATGGCCAAGATACGATGCTCGATCTGCAGGGGTAGCACCATCTGGCAATCGCTAGAAATTACGCATCACAGTTCAGGAATATCGAGCTTGTATGCGGCACAGTAAGCAACACACATTCTGCGGTCCATCAAACCGGAATCAATTCAGAAACAGTGCTACTGAAGCTGGTATTCTCTTAACTAAGGAGGTTGCAGGTAATGTTGGTGGCGCTCAATGACACACGTATGCAAACTTGGTCGGATCATCCTCAAAAAACAAACGCAAGACTTCGCAAGGAATTTATAACCACTCTCGACATAGCGCACGTCTTTCTATGCAAATGTCAAAGTTTTAGGTAGGTAGTATTAGGCATCTCAATATTGATTGTAACGCCGCTATTGCCGAGTGGCTGTGGATCTATTGATACAGATTCCACGTTGCGCGTTTTCATTTACCCCCACGATATTCTACCCATTTGTTTCGAGTCCATCCTATTTTGCTATCTGTGTGCCTCTATCTTTTTCTTGTCAATCTTGTACCCAGAAGTTTCTTCCTCTACCTTCCTCACTTCTGTAGCGGCCATCCCCAGTCAAGTGAATGTGCAAAATGGCTTCCGATGATGATTCCGAGCAACAGCCAGTGGCAGAACAAACACAAAGTCTCCCCGTCAATAGGAATGCCATCTCAACCACCGAGAAATCGAAAGGTGGTGGCCATCATCATGAAGGTCTACCCCCACCCAACGGTGGTTTGATTGCTTGGACGCAGGTTACCGGCGCGTTTTTCCTTTTCTTTAATACTCGGCAGGAAAACCTTTGATGCCGTTAGCTTTCATGCACGATTCTCGCATTTAATTTTAAGGGGATTGTCAACACTTTCGGCGTATATCAGACATACTATCAACTTCATATGTTAGCATCGGAATCGTCCTCAAACATTTCTTGGATTGGTTCCGTTCAAGGGTTTCTGTTATTTCTCAGAAGTGCTGTAACGGGTCCGTTTTTTGATATGGGATATCTGCGGATACTTCTCTCCCTGGGTGCCTTTTTTTTTCATATTCGGCATGACGATGACGAGTTTATGCACCAAGTATTGGCAAGCATTTCTCGCCCAGGGCTTTATAACGGGAATAGGCTTCGGTATGCTGTTCTTGCCAAGTGTTGCTATTGTATCACAGTACTTCTCGACCAAAAGGGCCTTTGCCTTTGGGGTCGCTGCCAGCGGCAGTAGTCTTGGTGAGTATAAAAATTAAATCTAGCTCCACGATAAATTATTGCTAACATGTGGAACGCAGGTGGCGTGTTTTACACAGTGATATTTCGGGCACTGCCGCCTCGTGTTGGCTTTGTATGGGCCAATCGGATTATTGTGTTTATAATGCTCGTTACTATGGTTATCCCGGTACTTGGTATGAAGCTGCGCGGCGAGTCAAGTACTACAAGACGTGATTTCCTAGACCTGACGGCTTTCAGGTCAAAACCATACTTGGCTTTCTGTCTCAGCAACTTCTTCGGGCTCATGGGTATCTATGTAACCTTCTTTTATATCCAGCTTTATGTCGAAGAGCAGGTTAATATTAGTTCTTTAATAGCGTCTTATCTTTTGACAATCACCAATGCAGCCTCTACATTTAGTCGATTGATTCCAAACTTCTTCGCCGATAAGATCGGACCCCTTAACATCCTTATTCCGTTTTCACATGTAGATTCTGTGCTTTGGATGGATCGGAGTTACATCGGAGGCTGGAATAGTGGTTTTCTGTCTTCTGTATGGATTCTTTTGCGGCACATTTGTTTCATTGCCCGATAACATTGTCATAACGATATCGCCAAATCTAAAAACTATCGGCATTCAACTTGGGATGGCACTCAGTATATCCGGGTTCGGTATGCTCATTGGAGAACCAATTGCGGGAGCAATATTGGATGCCAATAGCGGGTGGAAGGGGCTACAAGCTTTCTGTGGAGCAATGATATTTTTATCTGGGGCGTTCGCTCTGTTGATACGACTCTACAGGACTGGACCTATTTTGATGGCTAAATCGTAACCGTATGTATTGCCATTGTTTAATTATTCAGATATCTGCTGAGATTGAAAAGGTGCGAATGAAAATCGGAGGAGATTCTGAGCTTCTGCATAATTTGGTAGCAAACGCGTCCATAACAGCTCGAGCTTTGAAGATGTGAGATGCGCAATTTGGTTGATATCGGGTTACGAGGGCAGAGAGAGGCCTTAGTAGACCCGAAAATTTTAAATCATGCAAATTCGATCTCAGATTCAAAATAACCAGACAAAATCTACGACGAGCTCAAAAATTACAGCATTAGGTAAGCATCAGTGAGGTTAATGTGAAAGCTTTACTAGGAGACTTTCTGCAGCAATGAATGAGCTAAAATATCAACAGTATAAGGAGCAGCTGCAGATTCATTACAGGAAGATGACGATCCATGTTTTGACCAAAGAATGTGAGATTTACCTTCAGGCACATATAAGAATAGACGCAAGTTTTTCCGAAAACCAGACATCAGGAACTTGATGTTTGACGTTTAATTTACGAAGATAAGATGATTTTCCAGAAGCTGGAAGAAGGCATGACAAGAGTTAAGATTCTAAAATTCTGCGTACATAACATTATTCATGTCACAATCAAGCACGCCAGCTTAACTGACATCCTGACCGAGTCACCGAGATCCTCCTTGCTGCGTGTGGTCACGTACTCGTGATTTTTGAATACATTAGTCTTCTTCTCCTTCTATCAAATGTTAGGAATATGATTGGCATATTAAAAGATGTAAGATTAAAGGGAAGTTTCTTTAATTCTAAGGGTTCTATGCAATCCATGATATCAATAACCCGGGTAAATTTTCTGAACAGATATGTTTGATACACTTTGTCACTGTTCTACGAAGTCTTGGTAGATACCAGAATAATCTTAACCTGAGATATACCAATGCATACACTTATGCACTCGTATGCAGCTGGATCTCTCGCATATTTCTTCATTGGCTGGGTTTGAAAGAGTAATTTGACACAGTAGCCCAACCAAACCAGCCAGAACTAAGTACACAATGTTCAACAGTATCAATTCTGCATATGCTCTCTTGAATTTACTGCTCTCATAAATTCATAATTCCACTGATTGGACATTAGAGGACTTCCTTGTTCTTCTGAAACACATCTCTAAGAATCTCTTTCTTTGTCAGAGAAGAAAATCCCACAATCCCGTTCCCCTTTGAGTTCAGTCACTTCAGTGTCTTGGATTCTTCCAGTTCGATTTTCGTCAATTGCATTTCTTTCATAAATTGTTTCCTTACGCATGCGGAAAATGACTCTTAGCTCCTACAGCAAGACTCTTTGTCTACAGCAAGACTCTTTGTCTCGAGATATTATAGTAGAACCATCTGGTTGCTAAATGAACTTAATCTTTATCTTTCTGTATGACCATATGAAACATATTTTTCTTGTTATTCGTCGATTGATATATTGTTCACATAAAGTTTGATATTGCTTCGGTGCCTGAGATATTTTTCAATAATATAAGAATCAGCTCCTTGCCCATTACATCAAAGCGTAGCAATCAATCTCCCACCAATCAATCTGCATACATTCCACCCAAAATGACGACCCAAAATTCCCAAATTCCACGAATATGCGGCAGCTGTGGCAAGATACATAGTCCATCTGAGCTTTGCTATACTCCATTGAAATGTTGGAATTGTGGCAAGAAACATTCGACCACTCGAGAATTTTGCTACACTTGCAAATGTTGGACCCCACCCACAATGAAACGAGCAACACCCGAGGCACCGAAGGAACCTATTCACTGGCACGAATTCATAATCGCAAAAACGGATTCAAGTCAAGTCAAGAGCGACCAGTTGAAAAGTGCGGTAGACGCTATTGAAAAAGATCAGTATACTGCAGTCCTTTGCGCCGAATCACCTGATAGTCCGTACGCGAAGGACAATACAGAGAAGATCGCCGTTTTCTTATACAGACCCGGAGGAGATAAGAAGCTGTCGGTTACAAAGCTGGAAGGTATCTCGGCCAGTTCTAGGAAGTGGGAGGAGATCAAACTTTCCGATTGGACAATGTTTGAAGAAATATTAGGAGTGGATTCGTGTAAGTATTCTCATGGGTTGCAATTTACTAGGTACGAGAGCTGACTTAGTAAATAGTACCATCCAGCTTCCCGACGCCAGACAATATTTGTTTACTTGAAGATGATGAACTAGACACAGGCTTAGCGGGCTTTAGCGGGGTTGGTTTAAGTACTGGATAGGATGCTATTTGACTAGCCCATATGCCAGATCAACATTTGTAGGGCATACGGAACCTTAGACGTATAGTAGCTGTTGGCCTATACAGTCAGTCATAGTTTACTGCTCACAAGTTTTCAAGCTATTTTTCAATTGCTCGGCAGTTTTGCCAGTACGGGTTCGTGCTTCTGAATACAAACTGGTTCACTTTTATCCTTGAAAATCGGTATCATCAATGTGAACTTCAAAAATTTCAAACTAGTATAACGAAAAAAGATGCACGGGACACTGCACGGCAAAAGAATGCGAAGTTCTCAAGTATTGGAATAAGCATTAGCGAGCTCAACGAACTATGTACTAATTGTATTGAACCACCGCAAAAACTCTCTCTCATCTTTTTCAAAATTGTATTTGTAAATCGAATCTTCATCTTCTGGATCATCATCTGGATCCGAAAGCTCAGGGTCAAAGACATCACGATGCTTTTGGGGCCACCCCATATCCACCTCCAGAAATTCCCTTTTCACTTTATGGCAATCACAAAAATCCTTGCTATACCATTTATTTGCACGACCCATTTCATGTTCGCTGTAATCGATATAAGTTCCGCTGTCCCATAGGTCAGCAATTTCATTCAAGGCCTTTACCGTCGGCTTCCACTTTTCCGTATTGAATGTTGGGGGGCAAAACTCCGAAACCCGCTCTTCTATCGTACCGCTACCGCATAGTAATCGAGGGTTGCGAGCAAGTTCTACCCACCAAGGGTAGTAGCCAGCCGTTTCCCAATCAATAATTGCGGTGACTCTCCACTTTTGATCCGCATTGTCATTCGAGCAATAGATATTCCTATCATGCAAGTCGCCATGGGTTAGAACATATGGTCCACCCTTTGGGAAGTCTGCTTTGATCTTAACTATGTGTTCGTCTGCCAGTTTGACCCACAAGTCTCGTTTTGCTGGATCCTGAAGCCCAGCTTTATTTCGCCCCCAAAGCCTACGTAGAAGAGCTTTACGAATCCCAGGAGTCAAATTTTCCAGCCATTCTTCTTCATTTCGCCCTGTCTCCATACATGGAAGTCCATTGCATTTTCCAACATAGTTATCATGAAGCTCTCCGCCATCCACTCTCCGCATGTGAGGACTAGTAAACTGGCGAATGCTCTTAATGTGTTTCAAGAGATCCATTTCAACATCATGGCTCTGTTCATCGCAAAGATCGTCCATGCACTCCTCTAGCGATTTTCCTTTTGCTCGAGACATCATTGTGAAATTGAACTTTTCATCGCCGCCCCCAAATCTGTACATCTCCACAAGAGGTATGCCTACATTCGCATCCCGAAGAAATTTCTGTACTGTATAGTCCACCGACTTGCCATCTTTGGCAATGTTCATTTCATCTTTCAGTATCCATGGCCCATCTGGTCCGCCAAGTTCCCACATGGCATTGTTTTCTCTAGTAGATTTGATCTTTACGCGTGAAGTGTATCCTTCTCGGGCGAGATCATCATCCAATCCACAATTGTAGCAGAATATCTCATATGGCCGACGTCGTGCGGATTTGATGTCTTTGCGTTCACTAACTATAGTGTCATGAACGAGGTGAGCAAGATCTTTGGGGTCTATTCCGGGGTGATCTATAAAATAAATGATTAATACTAAACTACTGCATATGTTGAGCGTTTACTTACAGGTTGTATCAAATTCTGTCATGTGCTGAATAACCCTAGGAGGTAGTTTTTTGACCTTTTCCTCCTCCATTGTGGATAGAGATGGAAGATTGTTGCGCTAGATGACTTGTTATATCGCAAGTGTATCGAATTTTGAAGAGAAGAGTAAACTGTACTTCATAAATGATATTTGAGTATGTGAAAAATGAAGACTTAATATATAGTGCTGATAACAAAGGTTCTTACTTCCTCTTCTTTATTTCACAACATTAAAAAGAAAGTCTTATGTTGTAAATGAACCGCATTCAGAGTATTGATTGTCGCCTTTAAATCCCTAGGCAGAGATTGTTCCGTGCGAACCCAATAAATTTCCATCTTAACAACAAATTTGAAATCTGAAAACATAAGTAATAAAAGCCTGACACTACGAACAATCCGCATCGGGGCGAGTCTTTATTTATATATCTGAATAGATACTATTCCACTTCCCGTAATAAAGGCTTTTCGTCTCAATATCGAGCTCATAAAAATGATAAAGGCTTTGAGTGCCGGCTATAATATTAATAATACTTTAGAATAGAGATACTGAAGAATGAAAGGATAAGTCTTATAAAATCTACTTTTAGTAAAATCTTGCTATTTTTAGAGATTTTATTATTGCTTTAAGCGATTTGAATAGATATTAAACTATTTCCCCTTAAAATTTCATATTTGAAGCTTTTACTTGCTTTTTATTAACTTTAATAATTTTCCAATATTTAAAGTATTTAAAGCTTTCTATAGATTCTAAATAAACTCTAGATAGAATTTCGAATTAGAATATAAATAAAACGAGACTTTTATAATACTTTTATCATCTAGAATTTATTATATAGATTTTTAATTAGTATAATAATATAATTAGTTTAAACGATAAAATTGAGAAAAAGCTCGATCGCTTTTTGATGTGTTTTATAATACTTACATTATTAACTTCCGTGTAATAAATACATTTCATTAATTATAATAGGCCTGGAAATTATAATACGGGAGACTCAGGATCAAGACTAGGGTACTACACTGGTTCGCTTAAGAACCCCTTCGCGCAAACCTGAGGATGACAAAATGCTAGATATACGAAAAAATATACCATTTTGGAGTTTCGTTGCATCTCTAGCGAGATCCAACTGTTTTGACAGGAGCTTTTGAACATCTGAATACGCGAGTTTAGCTGTATGAGATTGCTATAGCTAAGATAATTTCAGTAAGCAGGATGAATCTATTAGAGGATCGAGCGTATGATGTCATACTATATATATGCATAATCATGATTCGTGCGGTTAAAGTGTTTTCAAATCAAAATGCTCGGTAGAAGCAACGTAGGCAAGTGTATACTACATCGTCAACCAGCAGCGCATGGTGTAGTGGTAAATTCTCGATGGATTCAGTCTATCTATCAGTAGCGCCGCATGTTGAAGGAGGATTGTATCATTTTCTGTAACCATCCTTCTGATTGATGATTTTATTCATTTCAGTAATTTGCCGTAATTTGTAATGCTCATCAACTAAGGAAGCGTGAAGTGCTCAAGTCTAATAAGTCTTTCCATTGACGGAGGGCTAGGTGAGTAAATAAGGGTTTCGATAGAAGCTTGATAAAGCATCAAATGATAAGACCACCGGTCTACGGAATAATTGAGGCTCTCCACACAAGCATTGCCAATTAAACGGTGAAGCATTGGCAGTCAACTTTAATTTTGTCATTATGAGAAATATCGTCTTCGAAATATAAGGTTATGCAATCAACCCGACAGCCGTGTAATGATTGAGAAATTTCATTGGCTGGGCTCTTTCGCAGAAGCTTCGGATATTTGCAGATGAAAGCTTATAATTGGGCTAGCTTATGATAACACAACATTTGTATAAGAGTGTCACATTCCCCCACATTCTCGGATGCGGATGAATGATTAAATAACGATCTATGCCCGATTGCCGGTACTTTCATGCGACCTCATCCTCCGTGGCGCGTCCACAAGTCCACACCGTTGATAAGTGGGCTAATCTCGAGAAGTACAGATATATGTGTTGAAGGGTTAAGACCCTGGCTCCGATACCTTGGCGTCAATTTAAAGTTTGTCAGGCCGTATGCGCAAAGGAAACAAGGACAGTGAGGCTGAATGCTTAGATCCACTGTTCAGAACTTACCTGCCCTTGTTTCAACTCAAACTCCGAGTCTGAACTCTCATGAGGTTCGGTTTCGGGTGATCATCGGTCCATATCTGTGCATGATGAAAATGGATGGTTAAAGATAATCAAACGTCGACAGGTAGGGATACCGTCAAGATGTTATTGAGTTCTAAGGTGGGGAGGCAGGAATTCTAGTCGGTGGGTTTGTACGGTTCAACAACGGGTGACATACAAGAGCGCTAATGCTAGGATGAATTGTGGGCGGTTTTGGGTAGGAGGCCGTCGATGCAGGTATCGATCCCCGCTTCATACCGGCCCCATGGTGAGATTAAGATCATGCGAGAAACCCGGATAGATCGTCAACTGTGAGAAAGTTGTATAAGAAGACGACTTGCTCCAGATGAAGGACACACTCTCTACCAGCTACCTCTCCAACAACATTCAAAACATAATCTACACTTCACCAATTTTATCCAAAGTTCATTTCACTACCGTCAAAATGGTCCGCATCTCCTCTATCGTCATGTTCTTCCTTGCGAGCGCTTTATCAGTGCAAGCATGCAGCTATTGTCAGTGCGAATTCTCAAATGGTGACCACTGCTGTGTCTATTCGGTAAGTCCTAGAAGGCCTTAAGCCTGTATCCATGAAGGTGTAATCACCCTGTATTCTAACATTTTGAATAGGACGCTGCAATTGGCAACCTCGATTGCCCCACCTATTGCGCCAATGCTCATCGCGCAGATGGTACAGATAGTTCAAATGGGCCCGGAACTGCATGCGCAGCTGGAGGAAAATACAAGTGCGCGAGTGCCTTCACAGCTTTAGACCGTACCTCATGTTACAAGCAGTAAGAACTTTGCAGCGGACGGAGAGTTCTGAAAGATGATTGGAGGAAGGGTTCCATGGAATTCGCACTATTGTGTCTCAAAACTCCCCTCGTTTTGTAGTTCTTGCAGAGTTGGATGGTCGAGAGCCTGGGGTAGAGAATAGAAGACAATCAGATGCTGCGGTCGAAACGATGACTTCATAATTGGTGCTTGATTAATTGCTTCGCTGTGAGACATGACGCTAGTTAGTTACAATGAGTGCATAACTGCAATAGCCAGAAACTAGTGATGTCGAGTCTAATGAATACTTAAACTTGTCTTTCGTTTTCGGATATGTACGTAAAGCGTAATGAAATTGTTTCTTGCCCCTTTGGTGGTTTCTGATAAAGTATCAGACACTGAACTCTCACTTGAAAAACTGGTTCCATAACTACGTATATTCTCTTTTTGAAATCAGGAACACATCATGAGGTTGGGGGTATTGACACAAGTGAACTTAACAAAATCAAGTGTGGGTGCAGATGTAAACACCTGGAGATGAAAACCAAACCATCGATTCCTTGTATGTATGTTGTTTCCATGCCTACTATTTGCGATAAGATCGTAATCAGGAGCAAATGGACATTCTGTACATCCATAGATACGATACCTAGTAGGTAGATTAGACACATAGGTAGATTAGACACATAGGTAGATTAGACACATAGGTAGATTAGACACATAGGTAGATTAGACACATAGGTAGATTAGACACATAGGTAGGTATATGTCAATACCAACGTCGTAAATAATGTTGATGGAGAATACAATTGTGTAGTTACATAATATGAAATTGACCAATGCATGCCTAGTTAGGTCGTGGGAGCATGTCACGTGTTTGTGCATTTATCATTTCTATCATTGATGACCATCCGCTTTCACTCTGGAATCATGTGTGCTGAGCATTGAGACATAAGCAAAACTTGAATCTATCGCAGGGTCCTAGGGTCAAACTGTATTGTTGACTGTTTTTGCACAATTGAAGAATGTCAGAACAATGCAGATTATTGTCGTCTCTAGTGGAGCGATTTTGTCGGGTGATTTGGATAATTTACTGCCATTTGGAAATCCAAAAACCATCAAGTGATGAGTATCATATTGTTGCATACCATCGACCAAACACATAGCTTAGTATGCCTTAAATATATGATTCAAAGGTTGCCTACGCCAGATACGTGACCGGATCTCTCAGAGCATATATTTTTATTGCTTCTATGAAGTAAAGTATTCCGAAGAAGAAGTATGAAAGAGTTTCCCAATATAAAAGATGAGCTTTGGGAGAGTTTCTTCCAGGTTCTTTCCTTCCTCCGCGGACGGGTTTACCTGGACTCTTCTGGTAATAGCCAGCTTGTGATGTGAAGACAACTATAGCATATATCTATCATGAAGCGCGATGCCATAGTAAATCACTCATGCCTAGAAATTTCCATCTCGGATCTAGGCTTGCATCAACAATGAGCAGATACATCCAAGTCCCGATGTATGACTCATGAAAGACATCCATCATCACTTAGCCGATATCACTCGATAGCCGGCTCTAGATGTGCCAAGTGCCCAAGACTATAGAATATTATTATGCATACTCTCTTAAGATCTTGAGGGGGACGTCTTTTGTGATTTGGAGCGAGGTCAAACATTTCGCACTCTAGCATATTTATCGTCACTTGAGAACATTCATGTCACTAAAAATATTGATATATTCTACACGCTCATACTATACAGTTGAGAGCAGAAGCTTAGAAATCTTAAAGATAGTAGATCATTCTTTGACAAAATCTGATCTTGAAGAACTTAGTGTAGATTTATGCAACCAGCGACGGTGGCATATATCTTGGCTTTACTCCAATCTGCAGAGCAGAGTGATTGGTTTTACAGGTTACAGTATAAAGCTCTGATCTGCTTCGAAGCTGTGGCAGAGATCTTTCACAAGGAAGAGATCAGATAGTCAGGGAAAATGGGACACTACTTCTAGATGATTTCATTCCTTTCATCGATACCGCAAAGATGGAGTAGAACATTTTGGTATATTCTCTAGTTGCGACTATTAGATAGGCTTTGATCAACGTAAACATTTCTAGTTGGTACTAAACTCAAATTCATTTCTAAGTCAGAAGAAAAAACTCATTATTGATTTTGAACAGTCAGATTGTCTCATCTAGTGTGCAGCCCCATGATACCAGATCAATTTCACGACCATTTGAATCTATTTATGTTGCCCCCAATGCCATCACAACATCATGGTCCTTATGATTTAGAGACATATTCCTTATGTACTCTGATATCTCTAGGTTTTGGTATTCATGAATCATGGTTAATCAAATCAATTCCAAAAGCGATAAATGGTTTTCATAAATCTTTCACTTCGCATTCATTCATAGTACTCATCTCTATGCCTTTCCATCCACCATCAAACTCAAAAATAAATACCCAAATCATTTAGTAGTAGTAAAAACATCATACTATGAATTCTCTCTACTCAAATCACGGTAGAGTCTAAGCTGCGCGGATATAGAGGAGGCTATATATATCTAACCATCAACCCAATGCTCAAACAAAAACTGAAAATCCTATATCTTGTATCACTTCCAAAATTGTATAAAGAAAATTAATCTCTCCCAATCTCCCAATCTTTCAATCTCTCAATCCTCTCAATTCCTTCGGAAACGTCCGCGATCATTAAAACGCTTAGCATCAGGAAGATGACCTCGAATACCCAACAAGTTGCCAGGAACTTTATTATCCGTATGCTCATTCATAATCCTCAACCACTCCTTATCGTGCTCCGCCTCCGTCTTCTTCTTTTCTTCACCCACAAGCTTATCGGAAGTATCGAACTTATTACTCCAAACATATCCTCCTTTGCCATCTGGAACAGACTTTTTTGGTGCATCGCCTGCAATAGTAATCCGTGCCTTCTTGATGACATGTTCCCTAGTAGAAGAAACAGCTGGTGTTTCAGGAGCAGCTCGCTTTCTGGAATTCAAAGCCCGAGTTGAATTAATCGCGGCAGCGACATTGGAAGGGCGAGTCGTCTTTCTACCTTGATCGTAGGCCGAGACTCGCTTTTCGGGTGCTTGGATGAAAGCAACGGGTTTCTTGGCGGCGAGAAGCTTTCTTCTGTCGATAGTAGGCTTCTGTATGACGGGAGCTCGCATGACTTCAGCCTCTCTGGTGGTAATAGTAGTAGCTACTTTTGCCTTCTGACGAATTTTTCTCTTCTGCATATCGATCTCCGAAATTTGTCGCGAAATGATGGCATTGGCTCGAGTAACAAGCTCAGTCTGGGCTTTGAACTCAGCATTGTGGCGTTCCTTATCTTCCTCCCGCGAGGTCTTTTCCTGTGCCAGCAGCTTTCTCAAACCATCGTTGGTGTTCTTTTGGTCCTCCAATTGCTTTGTCAGAACTTCATTGGCCTTTCTCTGATCCTTCAATCTCTGGTATCGAGCATCGGTCTTCTTCTTGATCCGAGCTTCATCTTCGCGGCGTTGGATAGCCTTCTTTTCCTCAAGCTTGCGACGTCTAACATCTGCTTGGTGCAATCCCTTTTGCAATGCGAGCTCTTGTGTTAATGCTTGATTGGCAGCTTCCAGCTCTTGTATAGAAAGTGGAACAGTAGCCATATCTGGAGCAGCAGCACCGGAAAGAGTCTCGGTAACCTGTGGAGAAGCTTTGGTGATACCAGAAGAAGGGGTCGAACCAGTTGACGAATAAACAGAAGCAGTTGAGCCAGCTCCAGATAAAGATGAGTGAGCGGAAATCATTGCTTCAGCATCCTTCAAGACTTGAACACCAGCAGGACCATACTCAAAAGAAGTGGCCTTGAAGATCGTAAAGTTATTGTCATTACTCTGAGGAGAAGAGGAATTACCATAACCCAACATAGCATCGATTTCAGAACTATCCGTGTTAGCGACATCAGCGATGTTGAAGAAATCGGCACCAAATTTCTCAGTATCGTTCAAGGGGGCTACATTTTGGTTTGGAATGCCAGCCCAGGTGAAGAAGTCGTCGATGCTATCGCCATTTTGTTGTGGAGCTGTATTTTCAACGGCTGGATCGTTGCCAAAGGCGCAGTTGGGATCTGCCATGTATGCGTTGAAGTCGAAAGATTCGCAAATGTTATCGAGATCAATATTGTTGACTGATTGATCTGCAAAAGAGAGGCCGGGAAGAGAAAGCTCGGGAAGTGGGAGCTGATTTTGCGGAGGAGCGTCTGCATAGATAGATTTGTATGTATGAGATTCATAAGCAGCCCCGGGAGCTTGGCCGAAGATGGTAGCCGGAACACCAAATATATTGAGCGAGGTGTTGGTCGTGGCATTGTTAATTAACTGAGGATTGTTGACTCCAGTAGCATGAGTAATATCGACAGAATTAGATCCTTGACGACGACGATCAACCTTCTTGGTACGTCTAGTGACCTTATCCATATTAGTATTTGGCATACCAGCGGCAACATAGTTTGCAGCAGTAAGAGGAAGATCCATGGTACCGTTGCGAGGAGTCGGAGCGAATTGAAGAGGGATGTTGGATGTGCGAGGAAGACCACGAGCTTGTCGATCGAGATATCGTTGAAGGCCAATGTTACCAGCAGCTTGGACTTTAGCGAGGCCGTGAACAGAGATCGCGGATTCGAACGAAGGATTTTCACTCAATCTTTGACGAAGAGGGTTCTTGGGAGTGGCGGTCTTCTTGCGAGATGGTGTGTTTGGTGATAAGATAATCTCAGACTTATCTCGTGGAGCCATACTGAATTGAAGATATGCATATGGGTCGCTAGAGTGACCGATTTCGGACAGTGGAGCGGTTGGTGAGGCATAGTTAGTGGCACTGTTGCTGTCGATAGGATGGAAATTGATCATGGTTTCCATGAGATCAAATGCAGACTCGGAGGCAGCAGACTTAGCATTCTGAACGTATGTGCGCTTGAGAACACCGGCTTTGTTGGTAGGTGTCTTTTGGGAAGAAAGGGTAGGAGGACCATGCATGACACCATTGTTCAAACCAAGACTGCTTTGGTTTCTGAACTGTGCCTCGAAGTAAACAGAATTTTTGACTGTAGTGTTGGTTAGCAAGAGTTGTGATCGTAGCGAATAGTTTGACTTACCATAGTTATCCCATTCGTCTTGTCCGAGAGAAGCATAATGATTCCCAGTAGCATGAATTCTGAGCTCAGCAAGGTTCATAACACGCTCAAGAGCGCGACTAGGATGTCCCAGAGGGAAGCAAAGAGCGCAGACCCATCCCTTGGTGGTTTGGACGCATTTGATATCGGCGGACTTCTTTTGGGCAGAAGCTGGGGTGTTATTTGTTGTATGTGTTGTTGACATCTTGACGTAGCTTCGAAGCAAATTGATAAACAATAAGAAGGATATGAGTAGATTCATAAAAAGCGCAGGTGTGTCGAGTATATCGAAAGAAGTAGTCGCAATTGATGAAATTTGCGATAAAAGATGCAGAAGTAGTTCTTCTACGTACTTGATGCGATGGTGACAAGAATCGAGATCGAAAATAGGATTGGTAAGTTTTCGATGGGTCGAGCTGTTACTTGAGGTGGTAAAAGTAGGTAAGTTGCAAGTTTTCTGTTGTAGATTCTTTGCACTGATAATGTTGAAGTTCTTGAGGGATTATCAAATAAGATGGAGGCTTATAAGTAAAGTCGAAAGTGTTTATATTGGGCCGTACGCAAATCAGTAGGGCTGGTACGGTTGTCACCGTAAAAGTTAATACGGTAGGAGACGATTCCTTGAGATTCGCGCTCGAAGATGACAAGTAATTGATTGAACAAGTACGGCGAGAAGAAGAATGGCGAGCTGTAGGTGAAAGATGGCGATGCGAGGAATAGTAGAGTATACAGGCAAATGAAACCTCAAAAGACCGTAAGTTGAAATTGGCACAAACGGCTTCAACAGGGTATCTGATGGTACACAAGTAATAGGGGTATGAGGAGAATTGAAAGATGAAAGTGTGGTTCTGAAGCTCTGAATAGATCGTGAAATAAGGAAACAAGTACGCTCAATTGAAGTTGGCTTTTCTATCCACTAGTCGTTCTTTCGTGTTCGTAGGAAGAAGAAGAGGAAGAACGAGGAAGGAATCAGGATTTTGAGATGTTTTTCAATTGTGCGAAGAAATTAAGCTAACAAAGATGAGTTTCATCCATTGCCTTGAACGTGCACTACCTTGATGATAGGAGGCTGGTAAAGAAGTCACAAAGATTAAATGTCGTCGCCGGTGTTCGAAAGTGAAAGAAAGTGAAGCCCTTCGTTTAAACGATGGTAAAGGACTTCGCAATATTCACCACACATCTCATCTTCATCTCTTCCCAGCCCCCTTCAAAACTCAAAAGAGATCGATAAAGGATCATACAGTGGCCTTGGAGTCATATAAAATACGATGTATATAGGCCTTGGTATACTATCTCTTCAATTTCTCTCTTCTCTTGCGACCTGAATATTGCTCTGGCCTGTGTCAAAACATAGCGCATCGCATCACACTATCTCCATGTTGAGATTTGAATATCATTCTTATGTGCTTTTCATAGAATCTTTGCGTCAAAACAAGCTTTCAAATCTTCTCTCATTTGTCTAGTAAGCTCATCGCTAGAGACGTTGACGTTATCCAATACCACGTGACCAACTTCCTACAGAAGCGAAGGGGTAAACCTTGGCAAGGTTATAGGTATCGAAATGAAAAGACTATTTTATATTGCGTGTACTTTACATACAGAGCCTGAAACAAGATAGCAAAGGTAGAGAACGGCTAAGTGTACTCGGGGCCAGAGGGTGTATTTCGCGTACTCTCTCTCTTCTTTTTATAAGTATACAGTTTTCGATTTTGTATAACTACCTACCTAGGTAGGTATAGCCAATTGTAGTTGTGGTCAATCAAAATTATTTCAATGGTTATTTGTTAGGGTGTTTGAGTTTGAATCGTTTTGTGTGATTCAAATCCAGTTAAATTATTGATGATTGTGGACTATTCCCTCAAACTCTTTCACTGCCACTTTACAATACATGGTATTGATGTAGTAGTTTCAGGCATAGATATAGATTTGAAGCTGCTCCTATCATGATCCGAAGCTTCGTTCAATTCACCAGGATTTACATTCATACTCCATAATTTCAACATTCAATGTGACCAATTCACTTTACATCATTCACATATAAACATATTCATCTTCACTTTAATCGCCAAACTGCATATTCACTTTCCAAGCAACTTCCCCAAAATGAGCGCTTCTGATCGTGAACCAACGCCGTATTCATAGAAGTCCGTAGAACTCATCTCAAATGATTAAATCTCTATCAAACATAAGCAACAAGGCATCCACGTGGATTTTGTGTTTGCGCTATTACGCACAACTTCCCGCTGTAAAATCTCCAGTCACGGTTTAAAACATCAAGATTGCTGTAGACAAGTCTTGATGATCTAGATTATCAACATGAGTGTGTTGTAGTATAGGGGGTAGTGGCATCAGAGCGGCAAGTGCAGAAGTTCTGTGTTGCCTGGACGACATCCGTCAATTAGAAGAACCTGGGTAGCTAGCAAGGAATCTTCAATTTCAGCAATAGAAGAACTGCAGGTGAAGTGTATTTTTGGTGATTCAATAGTTTACATTCAGTTCCTTTTCCTGTCAAAGGATGGTCAACTGTGAGCATGTTGCATGAATAGGCGATACTCACCGAAGCTGACAGCGTGATATTTTCATCCCCGCTTTCTCATTTGACAGACAAACAACTCGTTTCGTATATCAGATATTTGGATTGAAACTATCCTCCTATTCCTATGCGTCGTCCTGGCTATAATGCGCGAACGTTTCCGGCGCGACAGGAACAAAGTATTCTTCTAGAACCAGAACATATTACGTTTCGACGAACTGCAAGACTAGAGCAAAGTTTGAGATAGAAATACCATAGACATATACATCCACTTGAGCAAAGATATTACCCCATTGAAATCCTACATAAAATAATATCGATATCCATTGCCACACAGCTCTTCCGATCAAAGCAACAAGGTTAACGGCATCAGACACCACCACTACAAGGTATCAAGAAGCCCCCAATACTCTGTATAAAATTCCATTGCAAATTAGGAGCCATCAACACTCCTCCAAAAAAGACATGCCTTCTGGCTGCCACACCCTATTTCCTCCATCAAATCCAAACCCGTCTAAGTACACTCCTCCCATAGCCTCCCCACCACCAACATCTAAGCACACCAAGATTCCCAAACCCCTCCCGGACATCAACCTGTTGTCACTATCCCCCAGTATTCCTTCATACATAAAAACAATTCTCTCTTCCCCCGCATCTCCACCCCATATCTTCCCAAATCTCCTTCCGAATCCTCACATGCTGATCCCAAGACCCTACACCCTCTTCTCTTCCCTCCTCTATCAATCCAAATCCACACTCAACTTTCTCTCTAAAAGTCAAAAGTTCAAAACTCAACAACAAGAAAACCACTATACATCCCCCATCCCCCCCTCACATCCCCTTATAATTCTAACTCACATCTTCCATCTTCCATCTTCCATCTTCCATCTTCCCATTCACCCATCCACCTCCCTCTCTCTTTCACTCTTTCAAAACCTACCCGATTCCCGATCCCAATAGACCCAATCCACAATATCTACCGCCTCAATTCCCCACCAGGTAGTTAAAAACCCCATACCTCTCCCAAAACCATCTCCCAAACTATCTCCCAAATTCAAAATTCAAAATTCAAATTCAAAATCACAAAAACAAGTATCTACATTCCACTCCACACACTACTTCCATGTATAATAGATGATAGATAGATAGATAGACCTAGGCATAGAAAGCTTACACGAATATTAAGCTCCGGGTAATAGTTTTTCCTCTTCCCTCTTCCCGCTTCCCTCTTCCCTCTTCCCTCTTCCCTCTTCCCTCTTCCCTCTTCCCTCTTCCCTCTTCCTCTTCCCGCTTCCCTCTTCCTCTTCCCTCTTTCCCTCTTCCCTCTTCCCTCTTCCCCTCTCCCTCTTCCCTCTTCCCTCTTCCCTCTTCCCTCTTCCCTCTTCCCTCTTTCCTGCCTCTCTCCCCACCCCTCATATGAGCTAATCATACATTCATTCATGTACAACAAAACAACACAATAAACACAATAAACACAATAAACACAATAAACACAATAAACACAATAAACACAATAAACACAATAAACCACAATAAACACAATAAACACAATAAACACAATAAACACAATAAACACAATAAACACAATAAAACACAATAAACACAATAAAACACAATAAACACAATAAACACAATAAACACAATAAACACAATAAACACAATAAACACACAGCACTACAAACAAAATCCCAATCTCCATCTCTAATGCAAAACTTTAATTAAGTAGGTTAAAAAAAAAAGATACTAACAACTTTGGATATCACAACAATGAATTATAAATAGTAATTATGCCCTCCCCTCCCCTCCCCTCCCCTCCCCTCCCCTCTCCTCCCCTCCCTCTACCAATCTATTCCTATCCCTATCCCTATCCCTATCCCTATCCCTATCCCTATCCCTATCCCTATCCCTATCCCTATCCCTATCCCTATCCCTATCCCTATATATTCCGGATTCCAACGAAGCACCTCTCTAAACCATCAAGCCTCGCTCGCTCGCACCAAAAAAAAGAAGAAAAAATAAATCAACGCTAACCGCCAAATATATGCAAGAGCGAAGCAGAGCCTATACAGACACGGAACCAAGGAGCTTAAATCGTACCACCACTCACAACCTCCCTCCCTAATACTTCCACCTCCCCACTATCGGCTGTTCTCCTCCTTTCCAAGACCCATCTTCCGCCTTTGACAGGGTCGTCTTCTTTCACATAGCTAATTGACTCTGCGCTGGTTGTAGATTTATGTTGTTTGATAAATGATGGTCTTTGAACCTTTTCGACATCTCCTTCGTGCTCATTTCCTAATGATACATCTCTCGCTGCGGTAGTCCCATGTTCTAACTCAGGGGACGATTGATTCGTATTCAGATTCCCGACATCTTCAATTCCACTCTCCATCTGCTCATTTACAAGACCAAATGCGCTACTCTTTCTACGACTCCAAAGTGATTGTAGAAGAGGTCCTGCAGCCACAGGACTGCCGCTCCCGTCAACACTCTTTGGACTAGCATTTCCATTTCCATTACTACCCGAACTTTTCACACTGGCTTGGCTTCCACCCCACGCACGACTTCTCAACTTCAACAATGCTTCAATACTCATATCCGAGCCCTTTTCATAACTCTCCGCAATCATCAACTGTGCCAAGCCCGGACTAACCATGGGAGAGCTACCTGAC